TAGAGAATTCGGATTCTTGGACCCATAGACCTTTATTAGCGGTTTTGTGTTCGCATAGTCTCTTCTGGTTTGGTCGGCAGGTCTCACCTACATTGGCATTATCAAATGAGGACAAAGCCTTGTAATAGCCTGAGTTTAAAGACGGTCAGAAAATTCTTTAGGTGACTAATGTTGCAGCCGACCACGTATTCTCTTGGTATAGTATAACTTTGTTCTATGTTGAAAAATATGGATTCTTGCTGTGATTATGTCTGCCACAGTACAGGCAGGACAGGTCGCAGGACGTTGAGCCGAGGTCCTCTTCACACAATTAAACGGTCTTTCTTGGGCGGCAATCCTCCTTCAGTTTTCGGTGAGTCCACATCACCCATTCCTTCCAACCAACTTTCCCTTCAAGATGGAGAGTCATAACACAATATTTAATTAAGGGATTTTTCGAAACCCATTTTTATTCACAACTAACAGCTTCTTCCAGACCAATTTTTTCTGCATTCTTATCAATTTTCCGCATAAAAAACGTGAGATTTTATGCATAACATTATCTAAGGAGAATCCCCTCTTAATGAACTTTTGGAAGGCCATAAGTCGAGGGTGCCTGTTGCATCTCTTTGAAGTAGGAAATTCATTTTCCATTCCTCAATTTTCCCCCTAATTAAGAATACCTTCAAAACATCTCTTAGTCTAGTTTTAAGTCCCTCTGTGGGATCCTATTATCCAAGTATTTTGGCTTCTTAATATGAACTCCTCAAGTCATTTTATAGATTGCTTCACCAAAATGATCGGCCATCTTATCGCAGAAGACTCTTAGAAACCCGCATTTTTTTTTCCTATTCCGTCACGGCTGTAGCATAGATTCCATTTTCTTCATCCATATCTTCCTTTCAATTTCTCCTATATCTCACCCATAATTTGGAGCTCATCTTCTCTAGCCAATAATTTGCTATATAGCCTTTTTCATTTTTTTAATCTTTTAAATTCTCAATTGGCTATTCTCCCCTTGTGCTTCAGTTAAAATGAGTAATTCCTATCTCATATTTTAACTCCATCCTCACTTCTACCTGAAACTTACCTTATTTGTTTTTTGCCTTCCATGATCTTTCTCTTCACGCCTGCCTAGGCGATATTGGCCAGTCTGGTTCGCAAATGCCGCTGTCATGGCGTATCGGGCTCGTGTGTTGCTCAGACTTGCTGGCGTCAGCTACCCAGACTTACTCAAGTGGCGGGATACCTGAAGGCACTTTACGATAAGGTGGATGGTGAAAGAGACAAAGGAGACCACCATGGACGAGAAGAATACAGGCTCACAACCAGTGACGCAGGTGCAGCTACTAGGCACCCCAGCCGAGCTGACCTCAGGGACGCTGGTATGCAGATGTTAGCCAACAAGCGGGCCGACAGAGAAGCTTCCCTATCGAGTCTAAATGGAGCAAATTCGTTTGCTTCCTCCAACCTGTCGCAGTCAAACAGAGGCTCCTCTCAGACTGATCGGGTGAGAAGTCATCGTCCTGGCCAACTAACAGCCTGGCAGAGGCGCTTT